AGGAAGACCCCCAATGAGATGGATTGGCCAGGTGGCATCACTGATGGACTCAAGTGTAACAGCGGTAGTTTTGCTGTGCATGGGATCGCTATGAGTCGGTTCTGACTCGATGGCACCTAACAACAACAACAACAACCCTCTTTTTATTGGCAAAAACTCAAGTATTTAGACCACTACTTCCCTCTAGCTGGTATATTTTTCCCTCAGAAACTTGCTTACACCCCCACCTACCTCAGATTGATCACTTCTCAAACATCAACTTCTCAGTTAAGCCTTCCTTAACCATCTTCAATTAAAACTACACTTCTCCACATCCCCATATACATTCCAGACACTCCTTGCTACCTCAGCATAAGTGAATTATTTTTCTAAAAAGCACTTAAGACAAAGTGACAATTATGTTTTGCTATCTATTATCTTTCTTCTCTCATTAACAGGTAAACTCTGCAAAGTGGTTATTGTCTGCTTTGTTCATTGTTGTATATCCAACAACTAGAACAGTACCTAGTATGTGAGAGGTTTTCAATAATTTTGTTAAATGAATACCTCCAATGATTGCATCTGTGTTACCACATCCAAAAAGTTTATGGGACACATTTTCTATTTGAACTACATGTCACACTAAAGCCCACTCTAATTTAGAAAAGATCATAAGAATACTTTACATTTCTTTTGAATTGCAAGGTTGGTGGTTCAAAGTTACCAGCCGTTCCTCGGAAATCCTATACAGGGTCGCTATGAGTAGGAACCGACTCATAATCATAACAACACTTCTTATGATTAGATCTGAGAACATTCTGACAATAGTCAGAAGGCAAAGGAAACCAAGCTGCAAATCATGGACACATTAGCCACCTATAAGCTTAAATATACTCAATATGATACAATGTCAAATACTTACTAGTTCCAAAAGCAGTTTTGTTCTGACCGTATACAAAGCCTGAATTAGTGGTGGAGGAGCTGAAGAGTCCTGTAGCACTGGAGGTGGCTGGAGAAGACCCAAACAAGCCAGTCGTGGTACCTGCTCCCACCTGGTTCTGAGGGCCTTTACGGTTAGCTTGATAATCCTCTAAACGAAGTTCCTAAGAGAAATGAAAACATATTTCCAATCTTAATATGTTGTTGTTGTGAAGTGCCATTAAGTCACTTCTGACCCATAGCGACCCTGTAAGGGTTTCCGAGGAGCAGCTGGTGAGCTTGAACCGCCAACTTTGCAGTTCAAACAGCTTTGTAGTCTGACACATTAACCCACAGTGCCATAACAGGACTCCAATCTTAATATACAGCCCTGAAAATTCTTTAGGAAACTAATACCTCAATTCTCAAATTTTAAACATAGGAATCATGGCTAAAAGACAGAAAACTCAGAATGACACTTAACCTTCATTATCATTAAAAAAAAATTTTCCTGTATTTTATGTTGTTGTGATGTCAGTGCTGTTGAGTCAGTTCTGACTCATAGAGACCCTGTACAGGGTTTTTGTGGAGTGGCTGATGAGTTTTAGCTGCAACCTTGTGTTCCAGAGCTTGTCCTACAGCACCATACCCCTTAATATCCATACCACCAGTATCATAAAACTTTAACTGAAAGTTACCATTCGTCTGTCAGTTTGTCACTGTGGTGGTTTGAGTGTTGCTGCGGTGCTGGAAACTGCCACTAGTATTTTAAGCACCAGCAGGGTCACCTATGGTAGACAAGTTTCAGTGGAGTTTACAAACTAAGGCAAGGAAGAAAAGAAAGGCGGACCACTCCTGAATGGTTAGCCACTGAAAACTTTATGAACAGCAGGGAAGCATTACCTGATATAGAGCCCCTCAGGTTGGAAGGCACTCAAAATATAACATGGGAAGAGCTACCTCCTCAAAGTAGAGTGTACCTTAATCATGTGAATGGACCAAAGCTTTTGGGACCTTCATTTGCTAATGGGGCACAACTCCAACTGGGAAAAAAAAAGCTGAAAACATCCATTAAAATACTCAAAACGTGGAATGTAAATGAATCTAGTAAAACTGGAAGTCATCAAAAATTGAAATGGAACGGATAAAGATAGATACTCTAGGTATGAGTAAACTAAAATAGACTAGTACTAGCCACTCTGAATTGGACAATTATATGGTTTACTATGACAGAAATGAAAATTGAAGGGAATGGGTATGGCACAAATCATCAAAAAGAGCATTTCAAGACCTTTTCTTGAAGTACAATGCTGTCTGTGATAGGATCACATCCATACACCTACAAAGAAGACCAGCCAATACCACTATTATTCACATTTATGCACCAGCGATGAAAGCCAATGATGATGAAATTGAAGCATTCTACCAACTTCTTCAGTCTGAAATTAATCCAGCATACAATCAAGATGTACTGATAATTACTGGTGATTGGGAAACATAGAAAAAAGATCAATAGTTGGAGAATATGGCCTTGGAGACAGAAACAATGCTGGAAATTACATGACAGAATTTTGCAAGACCAATGACTTATTCTCTGAAATAAACAACATAAACAGTGATTATACACACAGACCTCATCAGATGGAATACACAGAAATCTAATTACATCTGTGGGAAGAGACAATCAAGAAGCTCAATATAAACCAAAACAAGGCCAGGGGCAGACTGTAGAACAGATCATGAATTGTTCATATGCAAGTTCAGGCTGAAGCTGTTAAAACAAGTCCAAGAGAGCCAAAACGTGACCTTCAATATATACCACCTGAATCTAGAGACCATCTCAAGAACAGATCTGATGCATTAAACAGTAATGACTAAAAACCAAGGAGTTGTGGAACAGTATCAAGAACATCCTACATGAAGAAAACAAAAGGTCATTAAAAAGACAGGAAAGAAAGAAAAGACCAAAATGGGTGTCAAGAGAGACTGTGAAACTTTCAAAGGGCTGCTCAAGAAGACAAAGTCAAGTATTATAATGAACTGCACAAAGACCTAGAGATAAAAAAACAAAAGGGAAGAACATGTTCAGCATTTCTCACGCTGAAAGATCTGAAAAGAAAATTCAAACCTTGGATTACAATATTGAAGGATTCTATGGGCAAAATACTGAATTATGTAGGAAGCATCAAATGAAAAAGGAAGGTATACACAGAGTCATTGTACCAAAAAGAATTGGTGATTTTCAACCATTTCAAGAGGTAGTATACGATCAAGAACCGATGGTATTAAAGAAAAAAACAAAAACAAACCACAAGCTGCACTGAAGACTTTGGTGAAAAACAAAGTTCTGGGAACTGATGGGATACAAATTGAAACGTTTCAACAAATTGATACTGGAGGCGCTCATTCTATGCTGAGAAATTTGGAAAACAGTTATCTTGCCAAATGACTGGAAGACAGCTGTATTTGTGCCAGTTACAAATAAAGGTGGCCCAATGAAATGCAAAAATCTCCAAACAACATCATTAATATCATAAGTAAAATTTTGCATCAGCATATCCACAATCAGTGTTCAAGGACGCAGCAGTTAGAACTCAAATGACCTATTGCATTGTACAAATCTACTGCAAAGATGTCTTTAAAGCGTTCAAGAGCAAAATGCCACTTTGAGGACTATGGTACACCTAACCCAAACCTGCTATTTTCAACTGCCTCATAGGCATGTAAAAGTTTGAGAATGAATACGGAAGATGGTAGAAGAATCAATGCCAGTTGAATTTCAGTGTTGGACTGCCATAAAAACAAATGAGTATGTCTTGGAAGAAGTACAGCTAGAATGCTCCTTAGGAGCACGGATGGTGTGACTATGTCTCTTGTACTTTTGACATGTTGTCAGAAGGGACCCATCTATGAAGAAGGACGTCATACTTGATAGAGTGGTTGTTGATGTTAAATGCCATCAAGTCATTTCTGATGCATAATGACCCTGTAAAGGGTTTCTGAGGAGCTGCTGATGAGTTTGAACCGCTGACCTTGTGGTTTCAAACCAATCTTGGGGTCCACCAGTGCTTATCCTACAGCGCCACACCAGGACTCCTGATAGAGTGGAGAGGATCAGTGAAAATGAGATGGATTAACAGTGGCAGCAGCAATGTGAGGCTGGAGCAGCACTGGGCAGTGTTTCATTCTGTTATGCACAGAGTGGTAATGAGTCGGAATCAAATCAATAGCACCTAACAATAGCAAAAACACAGTCTAAAGGGCCTAATGTATTATAATCTTAGCCCTTTTAATAAGCAATAAATATTTTCTTTTGATAAAATTCTATGATCTTGCCTACTGCCACCACTAAATGTAAAAATTAGCTGATGAAAGATGAAAGATTCTGGAGAGTTTGGAAATTTGAGAAAATGTGGAACAAATTTTAAGAGTTTTATTTCTCAAGTCAGAATCTATAAGCTCCAAGAAAGCAAGTTTGGGATGTAGGCAGAAGCAGCAGAAACAGTTACAATCAGGAAAAGAGCTAAAATGTTTGAGTATTTTAAAAGTTTATACAAGGGACATCGATGAGAAATGGACTTCATGCAACTACATAAATCTCACAACACTGAAAGAAAACAGATATAAACGAGCATACAATGTCAGATTCCAGTTATATAAAGTTTTAAAAAGGGCAGTAAAGATAGTGATTACATTTGGAAAAAAAGGACTGTCACTAGGAGAGTATGATGGGTATGTGTGAGATGCTAGTAATGTTCTGTTTGTTGATCTGGATCATAGTTACTTGGGTGTCTTCACTTAGTGAAAATTTATTGAGTAGTAAGTACGTTTTGACATTGCACTTTTCTGTATGTATGCTATACTCCCACAAAAACAAGTTTATTAAAAACACACACACACATACACTGCCTAGTGTAGTGTGAGCAACCTCCAATTCAAAATAGACCATTAGTAGAGCTACAACAATACACACGAGCTAAACACAATACTTACCTAAAAACCCAATTATCTATTAAACATACATTAAAATTTAAAACAATTTGGTTCATGTTAAAGCTTTTCACATAAATTCAATGTGAACCACCTAATCCCAAAACTAACCAAAAACATTTTTAAAAACTGCTTTCCAATAGAATGAAAAAGTTAGACAGCACTATATTGCATTTTACTCACCTCTAGTGACTTGCATTCATATTCTTTCATAGCAGTAATACACTGGTGCTTGGTGCTGATGTTAGTGCTAACTCCAGCTTTGACCATAGTATCTGTACCAGTTGGAGGCTGCAAAGGAAAATAAAGACAAATTTGGAATTCCAAGGTTTATATTTCTACTATGACACAATTTCTCAACCAGTGAACTTTAAAATTAGTCCGTTTAGCCATTCATTCATTTTCTTGATTTTTTTAAATAATAGTCTCATATAATACTTGTCCTTTAGTGACTGATTAATTTCACTCAGCATATCCTCCAGGTTCATCCACGTTATGCAGCATTCTGCATATTCACCATTATTACTTAATGCTTCATAATGTTGCAATATATGTACGTACCACAGTTTCATACTTGATGGGCATTTAAGTTGCTTCCATCATTTTGCTTTGTGAACATTGCTAAGATGAACGCAGGTATGCATGTATTTGTTCAAGTTGAATTTTACTTCTCCAGGATCTATACATAGTAGTGAGACTGCAGGATCATACGGTATTCCTTATTTCCAGCTTTTTAAGGAAGTGCTATACTGTTTTCCTAAACCATTTTATAATTTTACTAGCAGTATATGAAAGGTTCCAGTCTCTCCACACCCTCGTCAACATTTGTAATTTTCTGTTGTTTTTAAAAACTTTGCTATTAATGAGCATGGGAGTTCCAGTCTCTTGACAGCCTTGTCAGCATTTGCTGTTTTCTCTCTTTTTTTAAAAACTTTGCTATTAATGTTGGGGTAAGATACCTCATTGTTTTGATTTGCATCTTTCTAATGGGGTCTTGATGTGGCCCTGTAGGATAAGGACTTGACTGCTAACTGCAAGGTTGGCAGTTCAAACCCACCAACTGCTTCTTGGAAACCATATCAATAGGTTGCTATGAGCTGGAACTGATTTGACAGCATTTAACAACAACAAAGATTATTTCTTGAAATATGAGATACATTGCCTCTAAACTTATACATACACTGGCAAAAATGTCAGTGACTAATAAAAAATTATCTGCCAACATTTAACATTAAAAGCCATTCTAACTAAGAGGTCAAATTATGAAAACAGAAGTTTAATTTTACTTTAATGATTTACAGATTTTATTTTTAGTGTATCTTTCAAGAAGAGCCCAAATCAGTTATCCGTAAATGAAAAGAACAATTTTTACAATTTATCCAGCAAAGAAATATACAGGTAGAAAAGACATACATTTCAGAGAATAGAAAAACATACTTACATTGAATTTAATGGTAGTCCCAGTAGGTGCTGCTGTAAAACTACTTGGCCCAAAAAGGGAGCCAGATGTGCTACCAAAAGGGTTAGAAGTGGTATTTGTAGTTCCAAAGAGCCCTCCACTGCTAGTACTTGTTCCAAAATCTACACATTAGAAAGAAAAATGAGATGGCAACCAGAGGAATTTAAGAATTCCTTTAGAACTGGGATATGGCATTAAATCAGCACTACTTTCACATTACAAATGTTCTTTCAAATCTCTCTAGCAAGTTAAGTTCAAACCATACTTCAAAGTTCATAACTTTTGATTGAGACAAAATCTGAATCCTTTAGACATCTAAGTATTCATGATACCCTCCCTTGGGCATATTTGGAAGACAAAATAAAAGAAATATTAATGTTTCATCACAAATTTTATCTCATCCTTTCCAGGGTTAAGACTAAATGTTGAATGAACTTGTGTTTCTGAAAACATCTGGTCACAAAAGACTTCAGCAGGGGCTCATAGACTATTTTATGGACACATATTATTTTACACACACACCCTCAAAATGTTTAAGACACACAAAAGGTCCTACCAGGGCAATCAAACACAGCTTAAGTTAAAGTTTCACCCAAAAAATATAATTTATTGTCTATCATTTTATAGCACCTAATAAAGAAATAAAGTAGCTCCTTTGATTACTTTCCAAAAAGCAGTCCTGAAAAAACTATCCCATATAAATGAATTTAACAGTTAGCTAAAGATTTGGAATCCTGGTGTGGTGCTACAGGATAAGTAAGCATTGGACTGCTAACTGTAAGGTAGGTGGTTCAAACCCACTAACTGCTCCTTGGAAACCTTATACAGGGTTAGTAGGAGTCAGAACTGACTTGACAGCACTTAACAACAAAAATTACTTCTTGAAATAGATACTACCTCTAAAGAGGAAACCTGGTATGGTTCCTTCCATAGGGTAAGCACTGGACAGCTAACCACAAGGCAAGCGGTTCAAACCCACCAGACACTCCTTGGAAACCCTATGTAGGGTTGCTATGAGTCAAAACTGACTTAACAGCAGTAACAACAACAATCTCTAAAGAAGTTATACAATAACGCCAGAAATATGAGTGGCTTAATAAAAAGTGCCACCCTGAATATGCCCAATCTCTTCTGATCTCTGAAGTTAAGCAGGGTCAGGCCTGGTTAGTACTTGGATGTGAGTTGTTGTTGTTGTTAAGTGCCGTCGAGTCGGTTCCGACCCATAGCGACCCTGTGAGCACCTGGGAATATCAGGTGCTGTTGGTGGTTATGGAGTACTGGTATGGTGTTGTGAGTTAATGCGCTGGACTGCAAAATCGTTCTGATCCTCAAAGTCGGCAGTTCAAACTCACCAGCCACTTCCTCAGAAACCCTATACAGGTTCACTGTGGGTCAGAACCAACTATGAGGCACTTCACAACATTAAAAAGTAAGCTGCAAATATTTAATATTAAATGACATTCTAATTACCAAGTTAGGAAGAATGTGATTTGCCACTGGCAGACAAACTGCTATTTCTTTCTAAAAGCAAGTATTAATATGTAAGGGGGTTTCAAAAACTTTATGGAAAACATGGAATTAATAAGATAATGGAATTTTTCCATGAACTTTTGAAAGTTCCCTTGTACAATCTGAAGAAAATGGGCAAATCTCTCTTGAATTACAATGAGAATTCACTTTAAATTGGATTTCATATTGCCACCTATTCAACATCTGCACAATTTTCCTTTAGAAAAATATTATCCAGCCAACAATTTTTTCTCAAAATACAGTATTAGAAGTATTATCAGGTCAAAGTCAGTCTTAAAAAGAAAAAGCTGTTATCAATTAGCAACATCTGTCACAGACAAAGAATGAGAAATTAACCATGTCATGCCCAGTATTTGTCAATCCTTCTCCAGTCTCTTTATATGAAACGAGAGGCAGAAGCATGAAGAGGGCTACTTTGCAGCACAACACTGTTGACTACAACACATTCCTTTTCCAAATTCTCCTGTCTCACCACCAGCACTACACTGACCTGGCTTTTCATACTAGTGCTAGTTACTCCTTACCAAGCATCTTATCCGCTCTACATATCCCTTAAGTAGTCGTGATTTTCACTGTTCCATTCTTGGTTAGATGCACATATTACTCCCTTACTTTTTTTTAACCAGCCTACTAAACTTTTCAAAAACAATGTTTTTCTTTTGTTTGTTTTTTAATTTTCCTTTTCCTGTGTTGTTAACATTTGGTGGAAAAGGGTGACAGTCAGACAGGAGGAAAAGAGAATGCAAGAACATACTTAATAAGGAAACCAAATTGTCTCATGCTAATGTCTAATAATGTCGACTTACTCCCAAAGCCAGTTGGTTTATTTTGTGCAAAAGCATTATTCTGGGATGAGAAGAGACTAGTTCCTGTGCTTGCAGTTCCAAACAAGCTATTTGATGTTCCTGTTGATGTGCCAAACCCAAAGCCAGTGCTTGTGGAAGTGGCTGGCTGGCTAAATGAATTGGTACCAAATAATCCTCCTGGTAAGATGGAGAGAAAGGTAAAAAAAACAAACAGTTAAGTAGACAAATCTGAGTCACTAAATGAAGTTCTAAATGAAATTACAAATAATCATTAGTATTCCAAATAAGGGTCCTACCTGGTTTGGTTTGTGAATTTCCAAACAGGCCTCCAGTATTGTTGCTAGAACCAAATGCAGATGCTCCGAATGCCCCTCCAGTAGTTGTGCCAAAGCCAGTATCTGAAAATGCAAAATCTAAAGTCAGAATACTTTCTAATTCAGGTGACCCAATGAAAAAGAGTTTCAATGTTTTTTGGTTTTTTTTGCTGTTGTTGTTGTTGTTAAGTGCCATCAAGTTGGTTCCGACCCACAGCAACCCCGTATAGGGTTTCCAAGGAGTGACTGGTGAGCTTGAACCACCAACCTTGCAGTTCAAACAGCTTTGCAGTCTGGTGCATTAAGCTACAGCGCCACACCAGGACTATTCCTTATTTGGATAGAGCTACTTATCTGGACTTCTGGTGTAGTGCTATAGGATTAACATTGGATTTTGAACCATGAGGTCAGCAGTTCAAACCTATCAGGTGCCTCTTGGAAATCCTATACAATGTCACTATGAGTTGGAACTGACTCAACAGCACTTAACAACAATAACAACCTGTCTAGTTCTGGTGATGTTGCAGGTTGTTTGAACTGGAAGGTTGGAGGTTCAAGCTCACCAGCTACTTCTCGGAAACCCTATACAAGGTGACTATGAGTCAGAACCAACTTGAGGGCACTTAACAACAACAACCTGTCTAATCTGAAAATAACTTTTAAAATTTAACCAGACTACTAATTATACGGTCTTGGTGTGGTGCTGTGGGTTAATATGCCAGAGTGCAAAGTCGTCTGAACGGCAAGGTCGGCAGTTCAAGCTTACCAGTTGCTCCTTGGAAATCCTATACAGGGTCGCTATGGGTTAGAACCGACTTGACAGCACTTAACAACAACAGAACTCCTGGTGTGGTGCTGCTATAGGATAAGTACTGGCTGCAAACCACAAAGCCAGCAGTTCAAGTCTATAAGCTGCTCAATCAGAAAGGCTGTACAGGGTCGCTATGAGTTGGAACTGACTCAATGGCACTTAACAACTAACTATACAGAATTAAAATTAAGCAACAGACATTTTTTCCCCACTGCTTCCAGGGAATATAATGAAAACTAAATCACAAAAAGGTATTACTTTTCAGTAAATGTTGCAAATATTGATGTTTATCTAAAAAAAAAAAAAAAAAAAACTACAGATAAATTGTCTGTGTTAAAATGTTTAAATTCGCTCCAGTGCTAGATGTCACAGTTACTGGAATGAACTTAATTTGAGAAGCACATCAGAATGAAATGGGAAATTTTTACAAAATACATATGCTCAGATTCCCTACCCCAAAGATCCTAATTGTATAGTTCTCCTGAGAATGTTTATTTGGGGGGGAAAAAATTAAAAAACTCTAAATGTGACTCTGATGGGCACACTTGCTTAAAAAGTCACTGACCTGAAAGTACAAAGAGTATTCTAAGAACAGGTCAGGGAATACTCGAAAATATTTCTGCTGTTGTTAATTTTATTAAGTACAATTAAGGTTTGTAGGCTGAGTTTTTAAAAATCCTTATCATATATAAAAAGATTAAAGTATTTCCTGGTTTTGAAAAATTAGTAGCAAATTAGGATTTTTTGCTAAAAGAATCAGTTAATGTATTTTCTTAGAAATTTTAACAATATCTTTTCCTAGTCATATTTTCAGAGACCAAAGCAGGAATAAAACTCCAATTTGAAGCCATCAGACTGCATTTGTCCTTTCATAATTACTTAATTAAAACATTTAAAAACTTACTCTGCCCAAATGTTGAAGTTGTACCAAAGCCTCCTGTGCCACCCCCAAAGGGTGTTCCAAATGATTTATTAAACATCCTCAAAGTGAGTCTTTGCTTCAGAAAGCTGTAAAGAAGGGGGGGGAAAAATCACTCTTTTTAAAATCACAGAATGCAATTTAATTCTTTTTTTTTTTTAAGTATATCATTTATAAATAAAGGTAGACGTTTTGCAGCAAAAGGAGGGGAGTGATTGACTTTGCAGTCCAGGAGCGAAGGTCCCTGGGACCATCAAGGGAGAAGAGCTGAGAGTGGGACTCTACCCAGAGAAAAAGTGACACCTGAGATGGAGGCAGAGACGATGGAGGAGAGATGGAACGGCTGGGGACTCTAGACTCAGAGAGGGAGAGGGGCTGTGTGCTGATGACCAGGGGGCAGGCTTGCAGGGTATATACCCTTTGGTTGGTTGATGATGCATGGAGGGATTGTAGTCATGGCAATGAAACAATATACGATAGGATGATTGTAAAACTAATGTTCTCCCATGTAAATTATCACATAATTCACAATAACATATTTTTTTTAATTTTATAGAAAGTATATCATTCTGCAGCCCCATACCAGGAGTCCATATCTTGGGTAACACTTCACAATTATTTCTGACACAAAGTTCTTTTACACATTATCTTAACAACTCTAAAAGATTGGTATTAATCTATCACGACTTGTACTTGTATGAGGAAACAGAATCACATACTTACGAAGTTTCCCAAGGTCAGAAAACTGAGTCACATTTTAACCTACCTTCTAACTCCCAAAGAATACCCTCAATTCTAGGAATAAAGTGAGATAAGAATATATGCAGTATTGTGGCAATTTATCTGTTCCAGACCCAAGAACAAGGGATAATTCAAGGAGCAAATCCAATTAAAAGTCCTAGAAAAAAAATCTGCTCACTCAGGCTAAGTAAGCCTATCTTCTTGGTTCTGGCAAAGATAAACTTGTCTCAATCGCTAAACCCGATCAGTCTTTAATTTTATTCTAACTGATATAAATGAAAGAATGTATATTTCACCCTTTTTCCTATTCAAACCTTCCTTTTTCTAATTCTGACTCAATGAAAATGTCTCCTCCCTACTCTCAAATGCCATCTCTTCTATAAGTCCTCCCTAACTTCCTCCAGCAACTAGTTATTCCTCTGGGCTTCTGAAAGGCCTCTTTAAAGTTTAAGAAAGCAAAGAATGAAAGCTACCACTTTGAGGATTAAGGTAAAAATTTCTAAATTAAAATTAAGAAAGATGTGCAACAAGGTTGTATTCTTTCACCATATTTATTCAACCTGTATGCTGAGCAAATAATCCGGGAAGCTGGGTTCTATGAAGAAAAATGTGGCATCAGGATTGGAGGAAGACTCATTAACAACCTGCGATATGCAGATGATACAACCTTGCTTGCTGAAAGTAAAGAGTACTTAAAACATTTACTGATGAAGACCAAAGAGCACAGCCTTCGGTATGGATTACATCTCAATATAAAGAAAACA